TGGAAAACACTGTAAATTTATTTTTAACTTGTAACATTTTGAGAGTAGGCACTGTCTAAAATCAGTATAACAAGTGACAAGGAATCAAATTCAAATAGCAATAACAGAATAAAGAAATGGAACATGTATACATCTCATGCACATTGAATTTTGGGAAAATATTCTAAAACTAATAGTAAAATACAGATATATGACACAAATATGAGTGAATGAAAACTTAATCATTGGGAAATGTTATGTACTGGGTTTCTCTGGATGTACTTGGAGAAATAAAACTTAATGATTTATTCAAATAGCAAATTGTGCACTTATGTATAGAGAAAAAAGAATTTCTGTGTTCAATTTTACTTAAGTTTACATTACTGATGAATATTTTTTCCCAGCTAAATAGTCATTACTCCAATTAGGCCTACTTCTACTCTAGATATATACACACCACATAATTTTCCACTAAGCTCATAAGACTAACATGTGTGCTAACCAAAGTAAGGCCTAAAACAGTTACAACGCCTGAAGAATGTCATATGTTGTTTAATCTGATCACAAAATCGGGCTTTGATTTTCTAACTACTTAATTCTGCTGTTTCAAAACAGTTGTTTATATAACCCAGTTGTTATTAACTTTCTCAGAAAACTTTTACAGTGTTTAATTTAAGTTAAACAGTTTATTTGTCTAAACTGTTTGTTATAATCAATGATCATTACATACTATACTTAAACCAACACCTAACTTATTGAATTTTGAGAAACTGTAAAAAATAAAAGTATGGTTTCACCAAAAATGTAGTTAATAAAGGGGCATTAAGTGAAAACATTTTATATTAAAGATGAAAATAAACTTTTTTGATATCAATTTTGCATAAAATTAAGTAACTTCAACCTACCATGAAAACATTTACGAATGAAGGTATTATAATATAAAAGTAACAATAAGATTTAAAGTAGAACTGACGGTGATATATATTAAAGTACATTTTAGCAGTAAACAAACACAAAATACAGGTTATATTTAAACGTGAAAGGAAACTATTAGTTACAGATTGAAATGCTGCTGCAACATAATGACTTTTTTATCATTTTTTTTATGCTTTCAACAACCACTCCAGAAAGACCACACTTTTATTAAATATATTCAGGTAGAACTGAATTAACTTTTGAGCAGAGGGATGGGTTTGTTTAACAGGAGGTTTGAAAGGATATTTTTGAACAATTTAGTACTGAATAACTAAGCCTAAGAAAGAAAGAAAGAGACTGGACACAAAGTAATGCTCAAAATGAACTATTCAACTCGCGAATAAGGTGTGTATACTTGCTGTTATTAAACAAAGAACAGTCACTTCAACTGGACATTATATCTTTTACTGATCAGGCCAAATTCATCTACTAGACTGTAAACTAAACGTTCCTTTCTTCAAAGATGGCATAAGTTTACTCAAAGTGACTAGCACTTTCTAGGTGACTAGTCAATCTCTTTTAAACATAAGGGAAGTTGTAACCTCAAGGTATCACCTGATCTACCACTGGGAGACACAACTGTCTACATTCTTGCATAAAATGCAGCAATACAGCTGAATTACCAATGGGCAGAAGAGCTGTTATTTCCAGATAATAACAAAGGCAGTTAGAGCAAAAAATATATGGTATTTTTAAATACCACAACAGTTTTGAGAAAGTAACACCATAGGCTGAATTTATCAAATGACATCAACCAGATATAACCCATTCCATAATATATAAAAAATACTGGATAGGAAATATTCACTATAGGAGAGTAAGGTGTGCAGTTTCTGTCTTTCTATTGTGGTATAGTATTATGCTGAATTAAAGAGTGACGGTCAAGTCCCATTATTTGATTAGAGTAGTTCACGAGTTGTCACTGGATAGAATTAACTGGCTGACTTCTCTCTTGTCTGTCACTTCAAAATTAGGAATGGTTAAGATTTTGGTTAAATAAGAAAGAAATCCACCTTGCATTAAACAAAAAAACTACCTTTTTATTACTTGGAAAGAATGGTATAATAGTTTGTTGTGGCTTGCAAATGTCTCAACAAATGTTCCTGTGAGGGTAGTTTCTAAACCAAATGTATCCATTGTTTGAGAACTGTGGAAATCTGGACTCATTTGAAAGAAAAAGATTGTTATTGTTTGTTGGTTTTCATGCAAAGCTACTCAAAGGCTACGTATGCAATCTTTCCCTAATTTTGAAATAATAAACTAGAAGCAAGGCAGCCAGTTAACACTACCCACTGCCACATCATGGGCTGCTCTAATCAAATAGTGGGATTTCCCCATCACTAATGATGCACCCATAGCCCCAAAGTGCAGAAAATTATTTTCTTTAATGGTAGTAGGGCACAAACCATGATACCTCCAATATCATAATTCTATTCACTGGGCTACGATTGGCTGACCATGAGTGAGGAGAGTGGTTTCTGTTTATTTGCTCTGGTATTGTAATCCATGATAACTTGGTATTAAAGCACAGTCGGTGGTGTAGTACTAAATTCTATAGTGCAAGAGATCTCCAAAATTTCTGTCACGTGAGTAATTTCACCATTGGATTAATGAAAAATTCAAGACAAAAATTCGAAGCTCTATGAACCGAGCACTTTTAAAAGGTGGGACTTTCTTCATCAGGGTCAAACTGGGAATGAATAAGTTAAGTGTTAGGAAAGATGGAGTTGACATCGTGGTAGACCACCATGACAACCTGGAAGTATTTTGATTAGTTTTTAAAAGATTGTGGCAGGTGTTACTTATTTCCATGTGTGTTACGACACGAAACGAGAATGTTATAAATATCAAAATAGATTAAAAAGAAAGACTTAAGTAGATATAATTAAAAAAGATAAAAGCAAACATAAAAATTATCATAAATGAATAAGTTTCATGAAAGAAGATTACAGGTAAAAACAAAGAATTTATACTGTTGCGTCAGCGAGGTCACGTGACTAGTGTCTCGCCACGTTTTCTAGAAATATCCTGTTCCTTCGTGAATGCCCTAGCATTTACTAGATTGGGGGTAGTCTGGTATATATAAGATTGTTACAACGTGACGGGAACAGTGTAATGAGTAATTGAATGTATGCGGACAAAATATTGTTGGCCACGTGAGATATAGCGTTTGTTATAACGCGACTGTTGAAATTAAGTGTATCGTAAAGTTGTTTTCGGAAAGAATAAACCAGTTTTATTAAGAAAGGACTTGTGTCGCTAAAGTTTCGTTGGAACGAAGTTACGGAAAATCAACTAACGAACGGAGACGTAACAATACCATAGGTTTCGCTAGGTACTGGCACATGGGGCCCGTGCCTTAATTTTATTTGACAGTGATATCTTGAGAAATCAGAATAAAGAACTGTGAAAATGCTGTTAATTACCGGGATCCTTTTCTTCGTGGCATGGCTCTTTGTATTCTGTAGTCTTTGTTTTAATTTCCTCTTCCGGGGGGGGGGGGGAGAAGAAAAACAGTGTTTTTCAAATCATAAATAATTTATGTATACTAATATTCTAATCCTAAGAGAACAAACAATATTATTATACAATTGCCATAAAAGCATGAAGAATTCGATAGGATCAGTAAAGAGGAGTATTTACGGAAACGTAAAACATCGTGAGGTAATTAAGGTGAAGAGGTGTATGAGACCCACCTACTAAAGAAGCGAGCCAAATGTGGAACATTTTAAAACAAATTTAAGTTACTGACGAGAAGTATCGTACATAGGACAACTATTACAAAGATATGATAAAAATTTCATTCTGAATTTTATAGTGTTCAGCTACACCTGAGGCCTGGTGGTTATAGCTCTCGACTTGCAGTCTGCGGGTTCGTTATAATGTGACGGTTAAACTCATTTTTTGTTGGTAAAGAGTAGTCCAGGTTTTAGCTAGCTGCCTCCCCTCTAGTCTGTCACTTCTAAATTTTCGACACCTAGTACAGATAGCCTTGGAGTGGCTTTGGCGCGAAATTCAAACAAATAAGCTTTACCCGTATTTATACGTCGGGTTATTTACATACGTCATCGTGAAATTAAGTGGTTTATATTATCGAAGTGTCACATTTTTATCTACTGCCCCTTTACGGGTTTCCACACTGCGATAAGCCTTTTCGCTCTTACCACCAGGGGAAATTTGGTCGACTCGTCTTATAATGCACTAAGCTTAGAAGAAACACCATTTATATCATGTTACCACTCATTTATAAGTCATTAATTCGTATGATCTATAAGCATAATTTGTTTATCGTAATTTTGTTATAATGTAATATCACTCAATCTACCGATCGATAGATCATGTTTCACCAATGAATGCTTTTGTTTATATTAAATCAATGAACATTTCTTACCCCCTTTTTTTTTTACATTTGTGCACCATTAGCACTTCACACATTAAAAAAAAAATGTAATGAATAATTTGGGAAAACTTCAAATTCAGAAACACGAAAAGAATGAGGCGCAAGTTTTATCATTCAATAAATTTAATGTAGTTTGTAACACTTAGTATCTGCTTAGAATTAATCTCAAGAAAAACATGGAACAAGTAATAATATGAAGTGGCAACACCATTTTTCCAAAATGGGAGAGAAAAATGCAGAAAATATTGTGATATATTAATTTTCATGTAGAACTATTAAATCATTTTTACACACTTTGCACTGTTACGGGTGCTATTATTGAAACCATCGTAATTTTATTCATTCATGGTAAGTTTGGTTGTGAATGTTATGATTACAGACGGAATTTTTAGGGAACCGCTTTTCCCAATTTGCATTATCACTGTTCGAGTTTTACGGATGTCATTGAGGCATTGTATTCTATTTATTTGTCTTGAGTATGCAGGGCATTCCGTAGTATTTAAGAACAAAGGTGTTTAGTAACATCGCTACACAATTCTGAATTATCCCTATGACAAAATGACATAACGATGATACGTTAGAGAGTATAGAAATTTCAATGAAATTTGTACGTTTCCATAGCAACCGAAACGCGTCAAAATGCCATAACTAAATTCGTTATGTTATTACACATGTAACCTCAACTAAAAGAAATCCACATCTAAATGAAAAACAGAAGTATAAGTATAAAACATAAATTAACTATTTATACATTTTCTGTGATATATATATATATGTATTTATGTACATATTTTATTTTCATGTAAAATATGTTTAATTTTGTTCGAATAGTGTTTTAGGCTTACCCCTCAAATTACTGTTTTGTATTAGACTTTAGTGCAGATTTTATTTCCTAACCTAAGCCTACGTAGGTAAATAACAAGATTGAACACATTGGGACCAGATTAAATTATTGGCTAGTCTTAGCTTTATGCCAAAAATTAAAAGGTGACTGGTATAGTTAAATCTAGAGTAATACATTTTTGCTAAAGATAAGTTGTAAAGATGAAATATAATTCTGATGTAATGATAAGTCATTAAGTGGAGCCTTATTCAGTTATTGTATTTGTACAGTATACAAATACTAATATCACGTACTCCTATAGCTCTCATTGTTATTTGCTGCTGATTGTGAATGTGTCTTTTTTTAAAATAGTCTAATAACAAAAGTTGTATGCTCATTTGTATGTATAGTTTATTTTAATTTTCTGTTTTTCTACTTCCACAACCATCAATGCAGTAGTCCTCCACCCATACAACTGGCTATTCTTCTGTTGTTGTTTGTTGAGAAATACTGTTTACTTTTGTCTCAATTTCACACTGAGTCTTGTCATATAGTCTTAACATATAGGTCCTTAAATCTTTAGTTGTTGTAGAGATCATGGAATTGTATGCTAGGTTTGATCTCAAACTACTAAATATTTGTAAATGTATTTTTATACCCATCTACATATTTGCCTAGAACAGTTTAAAATATTTTATTCTTTTGTAAAGCAAATTATAAAGTCCAGTCTGAAGAAAGTGCACAAATGAAAGTTTAAACATATTAGTTTTTTTTCTTCTAAAAATAGTAGTTGCAAATATATTACTGTTTTGTGTCCCTATGCAATAGATCAGGTTCACTACCCACAAAGTGTAAAAAATTGAGGAAGTGTTAGAGTGAGTAACACAACAAAACAATGTCAGGGATGTTAGAAATTCAAATTTATTTCAAATATTATTTAATACATACATAATTTATATTTCTAATCAAATTTGGTTTTGGAAATTGCTACCAAAAACATAGTTGTTTATATTCAGCATTTCATAATGCTACATATGTGGTAACTCAAGGATAAACCTAGCTCTTAGGCACTTGATCTGTGAAAAAACAAGCGGTTTGTGGATCTAATATACAGAAAGACAGGTGAAGTGATTTGTTGCTAGTGATATCAAAGAAACAAGAAATATTGTTGAAGTGAAAACAAAAGTAAAACTATTTCACTGCAGGACTGCCAAAGATAGAAGCTGATCAATTAGTGGTAGAACTATTACACTGTATGGTGGAGATTTAATTTAAGTAGAAAAATCTGCATTTAGATAAGTCATTACAGCAAGTTGAAGTACACAGAAAAAACAACAAAATAGGATTCCTGCAACAAGAGTTGAGGTTAGAAAATAAGGTTTTTCTTTTCAAAGGTGAGAATTAATCTCATTTGAAAGAGCCAAACTGCATTCACAATACACATGCTCTTCATAACTGAACAATAATAAAATAGAATGAATAAATAAATATCTATGTATCAATTGCAAGGTATCCCCAATACACAAGGTTAGGTAGGATACAGTGCAACTATTAACTCAATTAGATTTAGGATGTTACAAATCAGGACCTAAAAAAAATTGTAAATTGTGTAGATAAGAACTTCAAACTGTAGAAGAGTAAGATATGTTGTCTTTGTATACTACTGTATCATGCCCTGTCTCTCTGTTTCCAAATAAAAATATTCTGGAAGAACTCTACTAGCAATATGAAAAAGTAGTATTTCTGTGAACAAGTTACACTATTCTTAAATAAATACAATTAATTATTACTAGATATAAGCTGATGCCTTTAAATATGGAGTTTACCACAATATCAAAAGTGCTTATACTTGACATAACTTTAATTATCATTATAAGTAAATTCATATTATTCAATACGTAGATATACATGAAATATTGCTTGAAAATATAAGATGAGGAGTTGACAGAATAGACACTGGAGAAAAAATAACTCAGAAGATGAGTTTGACAATTAATTAATTAATAAAACATTCTCCATCTTGATTTTTATTTTAGCTTTATCAGAAAAAAATTTCTTATAAAAATATTGATTCTTGTTTTATATATATGTTTTCTAGGTTTTTCAGAAGCAACTCAACTTCCAGTTGGATATTTTATTTTATAAGCTTTGAGAATTCAATTGAAAAAAAAGAAATAACAAAATGGCAGTAGCAACAGAAGATTCAGATTCAAGACTAGAATTTATCTATTCATACATAGAGCTATCACTGAAAATAAAACCAGACAAATGGACCAAAATGTTAAGTGTTGAGGACAACAAGCAGTTAATAATGGACTTTCTGGACAAAGCTGACAGGCATACATTAATTTTTGCTGATTCTGGCAGTGGACAGTTGACACCATTATCGGATTTTCCATCGATTCTCAAAGCAAAGGCTGTCTACTTCATTAAACATGTTAAAGAAGCAGTACCAAAAGAAAACATTCACAAAGCATTAATGTATGGAGATTTATCAAGCTCACCACTAGAACAGCTACAAGCAGTAATTGATGAGGTGATGCACTAATAAAACATTTATTATGATACAGTTTGTATATTTTTGCACTGCATTAATTATATACTTGTATAAAATTATACATTAATTCAGGACAGTTTACCCTTTATTACCACTTGTATAAGACTTTGAAAACTTCTGATGTTATTACTTAATTTTATAAACCACCAACATCTGCTATTTTTGTATTTAAAAATCTAGTATTTTTTTGGGGGGGGGGTGTTGAAAATCAGTTTAGAATATTCAAAAATTTATCATCTAACATAATTGTATTAAGTAAAGCTTAAATCGTTACTCTATATCAAAATATATGCTTGTCTGATAATTGTATTAAGTAAAGCTTAAATCATTACTCTATATTAAAATATATGCCTGTCTGATAATTGTATTAAGTAAAGCTTAAATTATTACTCTATATCAAAATATATGCTTGTCTGATAATTGTATTAAGAAAACTTTAATCATTACTTTATATTAAAATATATGCTTGTCTGATAATTGTATTAAGAAAACTTTAATCATTACTCTATATTAAAATATATGCCTGTCTGATAATTGTATTAAGTAAAGCTTAAATCATTACTTTATATCAAAATATTTGCCTGTCTGCTTAAATCATTACTCGATATTAAAATATATGCCTGTCTGATAATTGTATCAAGTAAAGCTTAAATTATTACTCTATATCAAAATATATGCTTGTCTGATAATTGTATTAAGAAAACTTTAATCATTACTCTATATCAAAATATTTGCCTGTCTGCAAACTTTGATTTGTTTATTTTCGAAACAAAATGATTTATTTTACTAATTTATGGACACATTATTCAAATATTAGATGCATTTGTTTTAAACTTTATTTCTATTTAATATTAGTGCACTTTATATAACAAAAAAAACCCAACAAAAACAGATGTAATTAATAATAAATATCCCTGAAGTTTTAAGTAAAGGGAACAACTGATTTTTTCTCCATGATAATTTGCTGACTTCTACTAATTACTATAGTGGATATGTCTTATGGATATTCCTAAACATTTCAGAGACTTTTTGTTTTTCAGGTTTTTGCACCCATCTTATGTAATCCCCAGAACCACAGACGATGGCCAAAAGTAGTAGCTGATGATATCGTCCAACATGTGCTTGATTTTCAAAGCACTATGTTTAGAATAACAGGACAGATTAAAGGGAAAACACTTCTTCCTTTACCACCAGGAACTGAACACTTATATATGTATGATGTTGAAGAATTATCAAGGTAAGACAGTGCCTTTAATTGTGCTTCTTTCCATTCCTCTTGTGTGCTGTTTTTAGATATATTTTTAATGCTGTAACCCACATGTTAGCCAGGTTTTAATGATGATGTTAAGATAGGCTTAGAAAATTCTGAAGTATTTGACATCATTTTGTCTGTTAAATTTGAGGGTAGATTATATATATACAGGGTTCAGTGAAGTATAAAAAGATAGTTACAATCAGAAACTAGAGTTACATATAGCTGGTAGAGTGAATAAGTCAGTGTGTTTTCAATATAAGTGAGGTCTTTGGATTCGTGTTAGCTATTGCACATATTTAGAGTAGTGCACTTAGCATCTATAACTTACCACAGTGTTTAATCTGTTATTATTATGTGGACTGGATTTTCACCAGATAATTTATCCTGCTAACAAAAAAAACAACAACAGTAGGATGCTAATCCTCTCCCTTGTCTAGGTATGTTTCAGTGCTAATCCTTTCCCTTGTCTAGGTATGTTTCAATGCTAATCCTCTCCCTTGTCTAGGTGTGTTTCAATGCTAATCCTCTCCCTTGTCTAGGTGTGTTTCAATGCTAATCCTCTCCCTTGTCTAGGTATGTTTCAGTGCTAACCCTCTCCCTTGTCTAGGTATGTTTCAATGCTAATCCTCTCCCTTGTCTAGGTATGTTTCAATGCTAATTCTCCTTCCAAGTGCATGTGTGCAATAATATTCAAGTTACATGCTATTTCAGTTCTCCTTCCAAGTGCATGTGTGCAATAATATTCAAGTTACATGTGCTGTCAGTTCTCTTTCCAAGTGCATGTGTGCAATAATATTTAAGTTACATGTGCTGTCAGTTCTCCTTCCAAGTGCATGCTGCAATTGATTCAGGTTGAATCACAGATCAGCAGAAAGCATTCTGTTAACTTCAAGTGTTGTTGTTGAATATATAATGATAAATTAGAATGACTAAATGAAAACTTTTTCATAGTTTATTTTGTGTGAATTAAAAGAAAATACCTTTTAAAGATTATTTCTGAGCCTGATTTCATTGTAACATGGTCCTTACTGCCTTATGAAGGGTGTCTGCTCGAAACGTCGCACAAGATAAACTGAGAAAGTTTTCATTTAGATGTGTAAATTTATTCTTTTTTTATCAGTTATCCAAGTTTTATTCAGTGATTCAAGAATTGTTGAATGTATATTAGCCTTTAATTTTAGTTTCATCACAGATATTATACATAGAGCAGTATAACAAAGAGGTTATCCACTACAGTTAGGAAGAGCATATAAAAACTACATAAATTGGTTGTAGGACATCTGATTTATTGTATTTGTATAGATGCCACTGACAGTTAAAGTGTGTGAAAGCAGTCAAAATCCAGATCCAGGATATGTCATGCAGTTGAAATAAACTAAGTAATGTTAAGATTGATGCTATAGAAAACAATGAACTATTTAAAGTTCTGTGACCCAGGTTATAGAAACTTAGTCTTGTAGCCACAGGGTAATTTGTTTTTTGTTTGCTGTTCTGTATTAACAACGTATGTGGTTTAATTTATTGAAACAGTTTCACATCTCTTGCCTTTATATGGGTCACAAGCTAGAACAAAACAGCCTGACATTCTTGCATTTAAAAAAAACAGTTTCCTGATAATGTGAATGATTTAGGATTTAAAGATAGCATAATTTTACATGATTTATATTGGAATAAATGTAACAAAATCAAATATTTTTATAATGTTGTTTATAGAAAACTGACATGACGACAGGAGCTAATCTGTTTGTTTGTGATAGTTCAAGCTTATGTGAATCGAAATTACGCCACTTGGTGCACACTAATTGACATGTGTAGTGTCTGACGACAGGAGCTAATCTGTTTGTTTATGATAGTTCAAGCTTATGTGAACCGAAATTATGCCACTTGGTGCACACTAATTGACATGTGTAGTGTCTGACGACAGGAGCTAATCTGTTTGTTTATGATAGTTCAAGCTTATGTGAACCAAAATTACGCCACTTGGTGCACATTATTGACACATGTAGTGTCTGACGACAGGAGCTAATCTGTTTGTTTATGATAGTTCAAGGTTATGTGAACCAAAATTATGCCACTTGGTGCACACTAATTGACATGTGTAGTGTCTGACGACAGGAGCTAATCTGTTTGTTTATGATAGTTCAAGCTTATGTGAACCGAAATTACGCCACTTGGTGCACACTAATTGACATGTGTAGTGTCTGACAACAGGAGCTAATCTGTTTGTTTATGATAGTTCAAGCTTATGTGAACCGAAATTACGCCACTTGGTGCACACTATTGAAACCATGGTAATCCAGTGGTGTCATCAAGTTCATGGAGTATTAGAGCATGATTCTTCACAAGTATTAGAAGATGGACAATATTTAGGGCCTTATTCTGAGATTGAGTTTTGGGATGGCCGAAAAGAGAACCTGCAATGTATATATGCTCAGGTATATTCCAGTTCTCCGTTTTATCATGCTTCTCTATGATACTTATTTAGATTTAGTGAAATATTGTCTCTTTGTTTAAGGTTAAACTTTCTAATAAAGGTCAAGTTATATATTGTTTAAGTTATTTTTGTACATATTATTAATTGGATAAAGATGCATAGTTAGTAAAACTGAATGTGAGCTAATACTGTGTAAGGACCTTTTAAGGACTGTAAATGTTTATTTTACAACTCATACTTTACTGTACCCGTAAATATCCTGCATACTATAAAAATTATATAGCACCAAGATTTTTATGATAATTACTGATATTTGTATGTAACTTACAGAAAGATATTTCTTTTAAAAATGTTAATCTGGGGAATCAGTTTTATGTATTAAACAATGCACTTTTAACACTGTATTTAATTAAAGTAAAGATGTATGATTAGACAGGTCTAATTGGAGTATCAAGTGTGGCCATAAAAGGTCTGTGTTTGGCCTAATTGGAGTATCAAGTGTGGCCATAAAAAGTCTGTGTTTGGCCTAATTGGAGTAT